ATCAAGAATTGAGATTTCAATTAGTAATTATGCTTTGATTGAGTGAATTATATGAATACTGACTGATCGATGGCGACATTATATCACCGCTGAACAGAACTAATGGATCGCAATCTCTGAATGAATTGAAAGCAGTGACCAGACGGGCGGCCCCTCCCGAGGGCTCATCGCTTCGGGAGTCGACATTATAGCAGTCATTGAAATGAAGAATCGATACAATTGACGGCCAATTAGTCTTAATTGAGTTATTATTTCTGTTGATTGTGTTATTGAATGTCTGGTCAAATGCAGGCATTTATTGGCGTTCAATAACGTTATACTCAATGAGATTTAATTTCAAACACTGCTAATGATTACTATCACTCTCTTCGGGACTTAAGTTCAATTTAAGTGACAATTTTTGTTGTATTTTATAAACGATTTAAATAATTGTTTTTAATTTTTCGTTAATTTGAGTGACAATTAAACTGATCGCGCGTTTATTTGATTACTTTTTTAAATTAGGTATCATTTGATGAATAGATATTGCGTTCATAGATATTGACAGTGAAATCGAGGGCTAAATATAAAACTTATTTATATATTAAATGGCATTCAAGCGAGTGATTCAGTGAATTCTTCGACATCTGAGCGCATATACATGTTATGGCAAAAACACCTATTCATTAGAAATGCTATTTTTCAGTCAACATATCTGTGCTCTAAGTCTAAGGCTGTGCTAAACTATGCCAAACATCTGCGCAATACGTGACACAATTATTACGCAAACGGCTGTCCATTGATTGCATAACTGATGGCTAATTGATTGCATGCAAAGGGTTTACAAATCTGTAATCCAAACGCTTATCGATTTATCTTTAAATTTTTTTGTTATTCAGTTATAAATACATTACTTTCTCATTACTTATTATGAATAGATTAAACATTTCATTAAATATTTCGAAATATGTATAAAATATATAGAAATTATAATTTATAAAATAAGTTTAACACTATTGGCATGTCTTGAGTATAGTTGAACTTAAATTATAAATTATTTGTAAATCATTACAATTATTCTTCATTTCCATTGGCTTTCAATTCTTGTAAATGTTGTCAATAATATTGTCTTCAATATTAGCAACAAATGCGTTGAATGTATTCACAAACTAGAAGTCGATGACTAGGAAGTTGTCCCAGAGATGTGGTCATCACAGCTGCTGTTGACTGTATATCAATAAGTAAATGAAACATCACTTTAGGATTTACTATAAGAAGTGACTATTAGTTTACCAGTTGTTGAACTGTTGGCAACTTTGTTCAAATGCCAATTGAAATTCACAATTCTTTGGATCTAATTCTGTGGCGATCTTAAAGTCTTCGCACGCTTTGGCAAAATTGTCTAAATATTTGAATAATTAAATGATTTAGTCATTGATTGGTGTCTTTGATTGGATAACCAACTCATGCGGTAATGAATAGTCGCTCTGTTATAAAAAGCGATTCCAAGACTCGGATCCGATTGAATGGCTCGCGTGTAGTCATCGGCGGCTAAATTGAATTCAATGTCTTTGTAATATAGAAATCCTCTGTTGTTGTAGAGAATGGCCAATGAATTACATCTTAATTATCAATCAATGGTTAAAATGTAAATCAGTTTAAAAGTGATGCAAACAATTGGGAGACAAAACTTACAAACTGTTGATTTTATGCTGATTTTGATCCGATTGTGACAATTGTCTCAACGAATCCAATTCATGAATGCATTCATCGATGGATTGACTCAATTGAGTGATACTTTCGCTCATTTTAACCGCAAATCAAATTAAAAATCATTGCAATTATTGACAAAAACTGAAAGCAAACAAACATTTAAATCACGTGTTCGTGACGTGTAGTCAAGGATTACGTAACCATTGGTTTGGGTTTTGATAGTGTCTTGAAGTGAAGGCAAAGTTTTTGTAATGATTTAAATTAGTTTTATTTCAATTAAAATGACAATAAATTTTTATTACAAAATACCTGAAAAATAACATAAAAATATTTGTTTCAATAAATTCGTTGGAAAGCAAAGCAAAATTCATTTGAGGGGTATTTTTAGCTCAATTTAGGATTAGAGATCACTTTTAGGAACAATTGGATCGTTCAATTTGCTGAAGTACTTGAGCTTTTCATCGGGATCGGGGATAATGGTGGCGCCGCCGGGCTTCCAACCGGCCGGACACACCTCTCCGTGTTGGTCAGTGTATTGGAACGCCTGAACCAATCGCAGCGTCTCGTCCACCGATCGGCCGACCGGCAGATCATTCATCGTTATCTGTCGTAATACTCCTTTCGTATCAATTATAAAGAGTCCTCTGATTTACAGATAAAACAAAGACAATATTATAGCAATTGTTTGCCAATTAAGTGATCGAAACAAACCTCAGAGTGTGTCCCAAGTCTTCTAAATAGACGCCATAGTCTTGAATGAAATAAATGATTGTTTAGTTGATATAAATTGCAAACTCGCGGTAAGGATAATGCGGTCATACCTTTTGAGATCTGATGGGTTTGGTCTGAAAGGAGAGGAATGTTTAATGCGCCCAAACCTCCCTGTTTTCGGGGCGTTTTAAGCCTTCAGTGAAAGACAATTGTTAGCAACATATGGATAGCGAGACAATGGTGTGGCACTAATACCAGGCTAAGTGTGTGAAGGGTGAGTCCACCGACACTCCGACCACTTCCGTATTAATGGCTCTGAATTCGTGGACTCTATCGCTAAATGCCATGATTTCTGTCGGACAGACGAAAGTGCTGTTCAAATGCAAATGCAATCAAACCATTAGTACGGATGAGACAATCGACAAGAAAAAACTTTACAAAAACAAGACATCAATGAATTGCTCACAAATCTAACGGATAGAAGAAGAAGACCAGATATTTGCCCCTAAACTGCGATAATTTCATTTCCTTAAACTCTCCGTTCACGACAGCCGTGCCCTCCCAGTCGGGCGCCAACTTTGATACTATCAACAAAAGCATACAATCAATACAATTAACACTTGCGCTCATACGTGACCACAAGAGTGGTCACAACGAGTGGTCCACACATGGATGACATACTCTGTGTTTTACTCCAATGCAATCGGTGTCCACTGGATGTGGTTCTGGTCTCTTGTGGGTAGACGTGTCCGCCGGCGAACGAATGGCATTGCGAAGAGTCCTGTTGTTGACCACTACTGGTCCCACACAGACAGAGGCCGACGACCGCAACGACGGCTATCATAACATTCATAGCTCTCAATGAAAGGCACTGTTAATTGAGGTGTGATTTAGTGAACAAAAACACCGCTTAATAGACGTGTAATGAAAAGCAAACACTTTATCGCTTCTCTAATAGCGTTAATGCTATGGAAACGAGTTTTTGGTCCCTTTTTATCGCATATTGTTATGCATTGAATGGCACTTAAGGTATGTTTTCATATCTTTTATGATAATTCCGTAAATCCTTTTTTGTTTGAATTTTATGATAAAATACAACTATTCTTATCACAGAATTGAGTAAAACACACAAATTCTCGCAAAAATATCATCTCTTTATTTGATTTGAATATTTTGTTAATTCATTGTATGGTTTCTTTACAATCAGTTCTTCCGATAAAAAGGATTTTGTCCTAAAGATTAAGTATTGATTAAAAAGCGTTTTTCAAATTGCTTTAAACGATAAGATTGTCTCTAAATATACATTAAATCATATCTTATATGTAATGAAATAACAAAAAAAAATAAATTCAATTACAATACAATATAATATACAATATATAATATAATATAAACTCATAAACAATAAAATATTTGTAGTTTTGTTCTAAAGATTATTATTCTCTAAAAGTTTTGTCGATAAAACATCGGAAAAGGGGGTCTTCTCAGCGCCGGTAGTCATATGAATGCCTGATATATAGGAAAACAATTTGTCGGAATCAATATCTTCGGGAAGTTTAGTGAGAAATTGGGCCAAATATATGAAATCCAAGTTAAGTAACACTTCGTAATACATGGAAAGTATACCCAAAGCGGCTCTGAATATGAATTCTTCGCCGTCTCGGAGAAACAGATCCCATATTCTGCTCGCGATATCCAATGGAAGCGATCGACTGAATAGTGTATAAATATAGTCCACTAAATATAAATCGGGACTCAGTTTCTGTTCGTTAAAATGTTTGTAAAGTTTTGGCAAATTTTCTTTAAAAAACTCTTCGTATGTCTTATAGTAGGCGTTCATAACTGTTTGGTTCACCCGAAAGAAGGACACCAGGAGTTGACGATTCAGTAGATTCGCTAAACACACAAACGCCGGCTCCGACTCCATGTTCAACAGCAACATCGCCGCCAGAAACGACATCCCCTGCGCGTACCCGATGTCCGGCCTGTATGTCACGTATGCGCCCAACAGTTCGCTCAGCACTTCATGATAGGGACCGCTCTCTTGAAACAGTCCTAATTGAGGGAAAGTACGCGAAACGTCCAGTTTTATCAAATCGGCTGCACTTTCGCCACAACAGTCCTCGTCTTCGAGACAATGAACGCTATGTTTAGCCCATATGTTATCTTTGGAACCGATCACACACTGTCTGTATATGTCTTCAGTGATGTTGAGCTCGTTATCGATGGCCAGAGTCCACACCCGTTGCCTGACATGCGATGGGATTCCACACCACCACTGGTCACGAGTTTTCTTACAATTCTTGGACTTTTGCCAATTGGGAAGAATGTCTGAATTCCACACTTTGATCGCTTCGATCACTTGTTGCTCTTGTTTTCGCTGCTTTTCAGACAACTTCTTCCGGGCCTTCATTTCCTTCATCTCTTTCTTACGGGACTGTCGTATCATCTCTTCGTACTCTAGTTTGTGTTGTTTGTCTTCGTGGATGGGTTTGGCCGGAAGGTGTGGCGGACGGGTCTCCAGTATGAGTGCTGTTGTCGATGAGATATTTACACTGTTATTACTTACAGAAGAGTTATTATTACTAATATTATTATTATTATGATTTCGTTTCACTTTATTTAACAAACTTTGCAGCGAAAGAGTAAACAATTTCTTTGGTTTCGAGTCGAAAACAGATCCACAATTAGATTCCGTATCGTCTAAGTTGAGCGACAAAACACTTGAGTCCACATTTGATATGTTATCGTCGGAGTTATTATTGCCATTATATTCACGCAAATTGTTTCCATTGTATTCGCCATCAGTTGTCTCTTCCAGTGAGTGGTCTTTGTTTGAGTCCAACAGTGATAACGCGTTGTTATCATTGAATTGAGATACTGTTCGCCTCTCACACAACACATCTTTGTTTGGACTTTGTTTGCAGTCAACCACTGAGTAGTCGTTCCTCTCGTCTAAAGCTTTTAGGTAATCGTCAAAACAGTTATCGACGCTATTATTAGCGCTACAATTACGGGTCGAGTATTGTTCACAAGCGATGGTCTTATCATTAGATCCATGGCTACTGTTTTCGTGGATGAGATTCGAGACGCCATTCAACTTCTTAAAGCCATTTGTGTGTAAATTCACACCATTTTTATAGCCATTCAGACCATTATTATTGCCGAAACCCCTTTGAAGGAGCAGTTGTTTAGTGATGGGATCGTAAACGAGGGGAACCTTATCTAACACCTCATCGATAGTCGGACTTTCTATTGATTCAATTGAGACCACAATTCCTTTAGATTTTGCCCCCTTTTCTGTCACAACCGATGATTTTTCCCACGACTTCGGGCAACCATTGGTCAGCCCATTGGACGTCGTCTCCAATGAGTTCAACAGTTTATCACTGAATGGCTTTATTTGTGACACAATTGAAGTCTTGTCGATATAATCGTTAGCATTGCTGCCGTTAATGCCATTTGAATTAATCCAATCACACATTCCTCACAGACTCATAAACTCTTGCTTTCAATTATCTCTTTCGATGGTTACGATTACCACTTCTTCCGCACGAAATGAGACGTCAATTAATTAAAAGCAAACCATTGAAAGCGTAAAATGGTTTTGTGTGATAACGTGTTGGACGTAATCAACGATTATTTGGTGTTTTGAGGCCAACAACGAGGACTCGTTTTATAGCATTCCTATGGCTTTATATATACCCGAAGGCTATCATCACTTCTTCACTCATTTTGTGTGATAACGTGTTGGACGTAATCAACGATTATTTGGTGTTTTGAGGCCAACAACGAGGACTCGTTTTATAGCATTCCTATGGCTTTATATATACCCGAAGGCTATCATCACTTCTTCACTCAAAACCTATATATAAATACAAATCAAAAACACTTTATATTAAATACAATTCAGACAAGTGTTTAATCATTGTTAATTATGTTGCGTTTCTTTGTGAATGAAACTTCTGGACTTCTGGTGTTTACCAAATAGTTATAGATACTCTACACATATATAAACGTCTATAATAGTGTCTAACACACGTTTGTAGGAGAGTTAGAGCGATCACTTTATGTTTGAATTGCAATAAACTATAAATTAATGCCAATATTATTATCAAAACATGTCATCAAAGCATTCAATCCGCAGTCAAATCGAGTGACAAATATTTGAAATTAAAAAATGCAAAACAATTTCAATATTGAAATACAATAACAACTCTTGGCTTTTGGTAGCGATTAATGCAAAACAACAAAATAAAAACAAGTATTTGATTACAGATTTTGGTATTCAATCAAATGAATGAATTGAATGTATAATTAAATAATGTGTAGAAAATAGGTGTCAAAAAACAGTGACTGATATCTCATGACAAATGTTACCAAACATTACATATGATTAGCGATTATAACAACACAAACACCGATCAGAGTCTCAACTTGTGGTCAGATTTTAGCGATTAATTCAATGATTGAGATTTTCATAGCAAACAAATGGTGGCATAAGATATGGTAATCATGTTTTCAATACATGTATAAACGCTGTAATGACTGATGCATTGAATTGAATGCAAACTGTAATCAAAACTAATAATAAAAAACAGGAAAAAACAGTGAATTAAATGTTTCGGAGAAATGAATGCAAGAGTTATGCGAATGAATTGAGAGTCAAAACCAGTGTTTGAGTACTTTTTTGCCAATCGTTGCGTTTAAATGTCTGCTCAGGAATGCAGGCATTCATTCAGTCAACACATCATTCAGTCATACATTACGGCCGACTAATTGGGTTACGCTTAGCGTTGAGTTGAAGGCAATGGGGTTTCCCATTGAGTGCTTTCATTGGTGACAGTATTTATGGTGCGATTATTTGTGTAGTATTTCTATAGTA